TTAAAAGTTTTGTACTGTGTTTTGATGGCATAAATAAACAGATTTAATTAAATACATGCTATAATTAGAAAATTTAATTACTATGCAGAAGTGACTCTATTTCTGCTTAGCGATCTTCTGGTGGATTTAGGAGCTGAAATAAAATCATATTAATAACTAATTATCTTCGTTCATTAGAATTATCAATAGAAAGCTATTAACTGTACCTGGTGAACCAATTGACATAGGATTTTCAGAAGTTGTTCTTCTCTTCTTCTTATTGTTAGATTGAGTTTTACTCCTGACATGGGGAGTTGTAGGGAACACTTCTTTTTCTGTGTAAATATTACTTTTTTCTTCTGAAATAAGATGAATTTGTAAAAAAAATATCATTCACGAAAAATATCATTCAAAAAAAATTTAAAAAAAGATAACTAGCAGGCTGCTAAAATCACCTTTGCCAGAAAATTTAATGCTCCTCTTAAACTTTTTCGTCTTGCTATTTGCATTTAACCTGATAGTGGAAATATCATCAGATAAACCATCTTTCGAATCAATGTTCTCTTTAAATTCTAATTGTTTGTTTGTAGACATTTTCCTAGATCTCCTCCTTGGTGTTAATGTGTTTGTCGCGGTAATACTTCTATTCCTTAGGACTTTTACAGTTTCATTATGTTCATGTGTTTCCTCTTCAGCATCCAAGCTACGTATTAGATTTAAATCTACATAACCAACCGTTTCATTGAACGGTGTAGAAGATACAACGGTTAACGTTGTATCTCCCGCACTTTCATCTATAGCTAGTTGTCTTCTTAAAGTTCTCCGTGGCCATGAATCAATAGAGTTATTAAGTAGCATGTGTGATTCTAATGTTTCTGCAGATTCAACTTTTGCTAATGGCATGTTTATACTTTCATTGGTTGATTTCTCTTTCTCAGAATGCATACTCGTGTCAGACACATCTTTACATTCTTCAGAGCTACTATCATCAAAGGTAAGTCTCAAATTTGCATGTACCGGCACATCATCTTCGATGCTATCATTAAAATTAAGATCATCTATTCTTGATAATGCTGCAGCTAAATCCATTTTTGTTTGTATTTCTTCGGAAATAGGAATTTCATTTAAAGCTACAGAGTCATCAAAATTAACTTTATGTACTGACTTGGAACTAGATGCTATCTCATTTGACTTCCTTGGTTGTTTCAATATACTCTTTTTCGGAGTTTGGTCAGAATTTATGTAGAATATTGTATTGTCCAACGTTACTTGTGGCGTTTTGTAAATTTGACTTATTTTCATTCTGGCTAAAGAACTTCGTTGTTTTTTCGCGGCTAACAACTGTACTTCGTGCAACAAACTTGACTTTGTCTTACTGACCTTGTGCTTAACAGAGGAAGGTTTACTATCATTACAACCAGTTGACCTTTCGGTTTTGTTTTCGTTGTGTATGATTTGAACTTCCATATCATTAGTGTTTACTGCTCCTTCCACTCTTTCTTTTCTTCTTCTTACTATGAAATTTCTGAATGAGCTTGCCTTTTTAGGTACTACTTTCTTTTTTACTGCAGTTTTATTTCTTTTTGGAAGCTTGCTAACAACATATAACTCTTTCTCTTTCCAGCCTTGTGAACGTAATTGTTCCAACGTATTAAACCTTGAATCACAATTTTTTATTTCCATATACATCATATCCCAAAAACCCTGCAAATCTTTACATGTAACCAACATTGTTCCTTTCCCTGTTTCACAATCGGCAACTAAACCACGAAATCTTTCGAACTTCTTACTTATCAACAAAGTCGTTTGCCCAATAGCTTGTTGAATATGATATTGACCATCTTCTGTAATACCTGATTCTTCTTTTATTGCAGTCCATTTATCACACAATTCATTTAGCCTATCTATTTCTTTATTTAAAAGAAAGTGAAAATACTGTGCAGTTCGTTCTTCCTCCTCAACCGAGATATTAAGGTTCTTGATGATAGTATCCTTTGTAGGAATATTGTCCTTTAATGAACAGTTAAGACTTAAACCACGTTTCATTTGCTCTTCATTTCTAGCATTCCTTTTTCCACGACTGGATACTACATATGGTGAAAAGAAAGCTGGCTCATTAGATGAATCATTATGTTCTGACTTGCGTGAAATATCATTATTATGAGTCTCCACAATACTATTATTACTATTCTTCTGAGAACAGTCATCAAATGTTATGTGTGTTTTCCCAAATAATAGTTCTTGATCAGGCTCTTTTAAAGACTTGAAATTATTGTTAGTATTATTACCCGTTTCTGTTGCAACTTTTTTGTCATTTTTTGTTGCAATTTTTTTGTCATTTTTTGTTGCAACTCTTTTGTCATTTTTTGTTGCAACTCTTTTGTCATTTTTTGTTGCAACTTTTTTGTCATTTTTTGATGTTTCTCTTTGCTGTTTACGTAATAGTCTCTTTTCTGTTGCTTTCGTGATCCTCTTTGGTGGTGATATCTTGCGGGCACATGGCTGTTTTTCAGCGATATTGTCTGCAGGTAAAGAAAATATGTTTTTACTGACTCCACGCACTACAAATTCTTTCTTTCTGTTCATCTGTTCTATTCTTCTTTGTTTATCGCGTTTTGCTTTCCATTCCAATAGCTTATTCATGCGATCTTCTGTAACAGGTAGTTCTCCTACTTCTGAAATAGAAATGACATTATACAAGACTAGTATCATGTATATATATATGTATTAAGATATGTGATATAAAGTATTGAATTTACTATCATTTACAACTTGTTGGATCAAGTGAAACCTTTTAATGTAAATTCAGGAGTAACTTGGACAGATTGTAAACCATGTCACTTGCAGATTTCATGTTTTATCTATTGATAGCCTCTTTATCTGGAAGATCTTTTCAGTAACAAACCAGAAAAAAAACAGTTGCATTTTTTGCTGAGGGTTATTTCTCAGTTTACAAATCAAATTAATATTGACACTGAAAAATTAACTTAAACATATCTTTAATTGCAACAGATAAATTTTTTAAATTTATTAAGAAATTTAAACTCATAAGAAATGCACTAAAAAACTTGATCATATGAATATACAATCATATGAAGTTTTTACAACAATGACAGACATTCCAATGGTGAAAAAATTGTACAAACTCTAAGATAACAATTCTTGAACTTTGATCCACGGTTTCCAGAGAGTAGTTGAGCTTATAATCGGAGGTCCACAAGTGAAACTAAATACTATTTTCTTCATTTCATTACGAAAAACATAATAACAAAGTTTGACTCGCACGTTTTTAAAAGGATACACGTTACAAACATTGAATCAGAATACTGTACTTCTAGTGGCAAAGAAATAGTATCATTTACTTTCCATATAAAAATATAATTAGGCTGTAACAGCGTAACCTTTTTTTTGTTATTACCGAAGCCGGTTCTTGCAAACTTTGTGAACTAGACTTGTTTGACAACAATAAATAACGAATCATTTTACAAATCATTGTTAAATGCTGAATTACCTGAAGCATTCGGTACGTTTCTGTTTCTAGTGAAAGTCGCAGCCCTATCACTTTTACGTGTCGTTTGCTGCTTTTGAGCGCGAATAACTCGAGCCGCAGCTGGATCCCCGAAATTTGCAGCCGGTGTTTTATATTTCTTTTGAAAATTGGACATTGTAACACGTGACATTAATAAATATGTAGAAACGAATTAAAGCTACGTGGTGCAACTAACGAACAGCTACCACAGTTTCAAAACAGGATAGCCTAAACCAATTGCAGGAAAAACATGTCCACTTATGGGTGCCAAACCAATAACGTTGTACACCCAGATTGGAACGAATGTAACCCATGTAGATACAAGTAGAGGGGAGAAATAATAGTCACTTGTCCGTGGGCTAGATGTCGCCACGCCACTGTGGCGTGCATTCCTTACGAGCTTAAATTTCTTCATAAATTTAAAAAATTTATGTGTTGTAATTAAATATATTTGACTTATAAACTAACAAATCACCCTCAGCAAAATAATGCAACAGTTTTTTCCTGGTTTCTTATTAAAAAGATCTTCCAGATAAATAGGCTATCAGTAGATAAAACACGAAATCTGCAAATGATATAGGTTGCGCTCTGCTCAAGTCACTTCTGAATTCGCCTAAAAGGATTTCACTTAATCCAACAAGTTGTAAATGGTAGTAAATTTAATGTTTTATACTACATATCTTAATACATTTATATATGTATATAGACAATATTAGTCTTTTATAATGACATTTCCGTCTCAGAACTAGAATCACCTGTGAAAGAAGATCGCATGACTAGGCTATTGAAATGAAAAGCAAAACGTGATAAACAAAGAAAGATAGTACAGATGCACAAAAAATGATTTTGTGGTGCGTGGGGTCAGTAAAAACATATTTCCTTTACCTACAATCAGTATTGTTGAAAAACAGCAATCTACACCCAAGATATTCCTAGGAGGATCACAAAAGCAACAGAAAAGGGACTTTTGCGTAAACAATAAATAGAAATGTCAAAAAATGACAAAAAAAGTGGCTACAAAAAATAATATATAATAGTACTAATAATAATTTCAAGTCTTTAAAAGAGCTAGGTCAAGAACTATTATTTAGGAAAACTTACACAATAGTTGTTAACAGGAAAAGGAGCAGTGTTAGTTACATGTATTCGGTACGTTTCTGTTTCTAGTGAAATTCGCAGCTCTATCACTTTTACGTGCCTTCTACAGTTTTTTTAGCGCGAATAACTTGAGCCGACGTTGAATATGATCGCGTCGCGCTAGCAGTACCGTGGCGCCACCTTCCCACGAAGAAATAACTATCATTACTCCCCGTCGGTTCTGAGCGTTGTAATTTGGGTCTACCACGTTATTGGCTCGGCGCCTAGAAGTGAACATGTTTTCTGTACGCGATTGGTTTTGGCAACTCTGATTTGAAACAGTCTGTTCGTTAGTAGCACCACGGAACTTTAATCTGTCTCTATATATTCATTAACGTCACGTGTTACAATGTCCAATTTCCAAAAGAAATATAAAACGCCGGCTGCAAGTTTTGGGGATCCAGCTGCAGCTCGAGTCATACGCGTTGAAAAGCAGCAAACGGCACGTAAAAGTGATATAGGACTGCGACTTTGACTAGAAACAAAAACGTGACGATTATTTCAGGTAATTCAACATTTAACAATGATTTGTAAAATGATTCATTATTTATTGCTGTTAATTTTATAAGTTTAGTTCACAAAGACCGGCTTCGTTAATAACAAAAATGGGTTACGCTGTTATAACATAATTACATTTTTATGGAAAGTAAAATAATATATTTATTACCTTTTGCCGTGAAAAAGATGACACTATTTCTTTGATCACTAGAAGTATAATATCCGATTCAATGTTTGTAATGTGTATAGGTTTAAAAGCGTGCGTGTCAAACTTTGTTATTAGGTTCTTCATAATGAAATAAAAAAGGTAGTGTTTAGTCACTTATGAATTTTCGACTACAAGCTCCATTACTTCCTGGAAACCATGGATCAAAGTTTAAGAATTGTTACCTTAAAGTTTATAGAATTTCTTCACCATTGAATATGTCATTTCTGCAAAAACTTCATATGACTGTATAAATTTTAAAAAATTATGTGTTGCAATTAAAGATGTGTTTAAGTTAATGTTTCAGTGATAACAGTAATTTGACTTATACACTAACAAATCACCCTCAGCGAAATAATGCAGCTGTTTTTTTCATGTTTTGTTATTGAAAAGATCTTCCAGATAAATAGGCTTCCAGTATATAAAATATTAAATCTGCAAGTGACATAGGTTGCAATCTGCTCAATTCACTGCTGAATTCATGTACAAAAATTGCACTTCATCCAGCAAGTTGTAAATGATAGTAAATTCAATATTTTATACATGTATATATATATATGTGTATAGACATGTGTATTCTTATATAATGCCATTTCCATTTCAGAAGTAGTTTAATACCTGTGGAAGGAGATCATATGAGTAGGCTATTTAAATAGAAAGCAAGATGTGATAAAGGAGAAAAGATAGAACAGATGAACCAAAAGAAATGATTTTGTGGTGCATGGAGTTATTGAACACATATTTCCTTTACCAATCAATATTGTTGGAAAATAGCCATTTGTGCAGAAGATATTCTCATTAAACAGGCTCACAAAAGCAACAGAAAAGAGACTGTTGCATAAACAACAAATAGAAATGTTCAAAAATGACAAAAAATTGCTTGAGAACATATATAATAATAGTACTAATAATAACTTCAAGTCTTTAAAAGAGCCAAGTCAAGAACTATTATTTAGAAAAACTGACACAACATTTGACGACTTTTCTCAGAAGAATAGTAATAGTAGTATTGTAGAAACTCATAATAATGATACTTTACTCAAGTCACTACATGATGATTTATTTAATGAGCTAGCTTTCTTTCCAGGATATGTAGTATTTAGTCGTGGAAAAAGGAATGCTAGAAATGAAGAGCAAATGAAACGTAGTTTCAATCTTAACATCATCAAGAATCTTAATATCTGTGCAGTATTTCACTTTCTTCTAAGTAGAGAAATAGATAGGCTAAATGAATTGTGTGACAAATGCACAGCAATAAAAGAAGAAATAGATATTACAGAAGATGGACAATATCATATTCATCAAGCTATTGGACAAACGACTTTGTTGATAAGTAAAAAGTACGAAAGATTTCATGGTTTAGTTGCCGATTGTGAAACAGAGAAAGTAGCAATGTTGGTTACATGTATTAGGTATGTTTCTGTTCTGAGTGAAAGACGCAGCTCTACCACTTTTACGTGCCTTCCGCTGCTTTTAAGCGCGAATAACTCGAACCGTTGCTGGATCCCCGAAACCTGCAGCCGACGTTTTATATTTCTTTTGAAAATTGGACATTGTAACACGTGATGTTAATAAATATGTAGTAACAGATTGAAGCTACGTGGTATTATTAATGAACTGAGTACACTAATCACTCCCCAAATGCCGAAATTTTGTTATACCACGAATGACGCAGTGCTATTGCTAGAGCCCTATAATTTATCGATTTTAAAAACGATGACTTAACTTTTTTATTTTTAATGTTTTATACATGAAAATTTTTTTAATATATATTGGTCAGGTTCTTCCAATTAAAATGTGATCAAACACGACATGCTTTAGACTAAATTTATTCATTATACGTAGCAAGTAACTGATTTTATTTCATTTCACAAATTGTAATTATAACAAAAAAAGCATTAGAAAAATATTAAAGGCAACGTCAAAAAAGGTATATATGTCATTCAAAAGAAAATATCAGTGGATTTATGCTATTCGGGCCTCGATCCGATTGCGATTCCTGGGAGCAGGCAACGATTCGACTGCGATTCCGGAGAGCAGGCAACGATTCGACTGCGATTCCGGGGAGCTAGTGGCTATTCAACTGCAAATCCGGAGAGTCAACGATGATTCGACTGCGATTCTGGGGAGCCAGTGACGACTCGGCTACAATTCCATGCCATAATTCGAGGGAGATTCGGTGGAACTAGTCTATGTGTTTGGCGGAGAGTGTGAAGGAGAACTGTTTACTATATATTTTCCATCAACCCTGAAATTTTAAGAGGTCTTGGAGTTGGGGTGGTCGAACGTCGAGGAAGAACGAAACACTTTAAATACGAGGTCCTCGAAATTGGATGGATGGGTTGCAGATGTGGCATTGAAGGACAAGGGCTCGAATCGAAGCCATGTTTTTTTACGAGCAAGAGTCGACTCGTCACTCTTGTTCGAATTGTTTTTATGGTGTAACAATGGCAATATTCATAAAGCAATGAAACCAAAGTAAAAGTCAATTTGCCTCGATGGCTATATACAGCAAAATTTCACGAAAACAAAAGACAATAGCCTATAGAAAACAGATAAAAAATCAGGTAGAGTCGCACATGGCCATTTGCGGTTCGTCGACATGACGCTCGGGCGAACCCCCGGGAAAACCCAGGACTCTGTCATTTTACCATAGCGAAAAATGCTGATTGATACGCACTTCGGCCATCAAATCAATATAAAAGGCGACTCACAAAAGAAATGTACAAATTTATCCATGAACGGTCGTTGCCTCCTACATTTGTAGTTNAAATTGGACATTGTAACACGTGATGTTAATAAATATGTAGTAACAGATTGAAGCTACGTGGTATTATTAATGAACTGAGTACACTAATCACTCCCCAAATGCCGAAATTTTGTTATACCACGAATGACGCAGTGCTATTGCTAGAGCCCTATAATTTATCGATTTTAAAAACGATGACTTAACTTTTTTATTTTTAATGTTTTATACATGAAAATTTTTTTAATATATATTGGTCAGGTTCTTCCAATTAAAATGTGATCAAACACGACATGCTTTAGACTAAATTTATTCATTATACGTAGCAAGTAACTGATTTTATTTCATTTCACAAATTGTAATTATAACAAAAAAAGCATTAGAAAAATATTAAAGGCAACGTCAAAAAAGGTATATATGTCATTCAAAAGAAAATATCAGTGGATTTATGCTATTCGGGCCTCGATCCGATTGCGATTCCTGGGAGCAGGCAACGATTCGACTGCGATTCCGGAGAGCAGGCAACGATTCGACTGCGATTCCGGGGAGCTAGTGGCTATTCAACTGCAAATCCGGAGAGTCAACGATGATTCGACTGCGATTCTGGGGAGCCAGTGACGACTCGGCTACAATTCCATGCCATAATTCGAGGGAGATTCGGTGGAACTAGTCTATGTGTTTGGCGGAGAGTGTGAAGGAGAACTGTTTACTATATATTTTCCATCAACCCTGAAATTTTAAGAGGTCTTGGAGTTGGGGTGGTCGAACGTCGAGGAAGAACGAAACACTTTAAATACGAGGTCCTCGAAATTGGATGGATGGGTTGCAGATGTGGCATTGAAGGACAAGGGCTCGAATCGAAGCCATGTTTTTTTACGAGCAAGAGTCGACTCGTCACTCTTGTTCGAATTGTTTTTATGGTGTAACAATGGCAATATTCATAAAGCAATGAAACCAAAGTAAAAGTCAATTTGCCTCGATGGCTATATACAGCAAAATTTCACGAAAACAAAAGACAATAGCCTATAGAAAACAGATAAAAAATCAGGTAGAGTCGCACATGGCCATTTGCGGTTCGTCGACATGACGCTCGGGCGAACCCCCGGGAAAACCCAGGACTCTGTCATTTTACCATAGCGAAAAATGCTGATTGATACGCACTTCGGCCATCAAATCAATATAAAAGGCGACTCACAAAAGAAATGTACAAATTTATCCATGAACGGTCGTTGCCTCCTACATTTGTAGTTCCGCGGCTTTACAGATCGGATTCACACCGAAACAGATCATTTTGTGTTATTGTAATTTATTACCAGTATTATTAACTTTTAGTGTCAAGTGTTATTATTGATGATATTAATAATTAGTGATATATAAATTGTGTCATTTAATATTGTTATTAGTAATCGTTCTTTTTAATTGTTTTACACTGTAAATACATACACAGATCTTTACTACTAATATTATGGCACCAAGAAAAAAATATGTTATTAAACATGCAACAAAACAATTTAATGTAGAATATAAATTTGCACTTATCTAAATTTGCACAATGTCAACGCAGCCTTTTAATGTACAGTTATTATTAATATATATAACAATGTATTTTACTATATAATCACTATTCAATCACTATATAATCACAGCAATAATAAAATCAAATGAATTGTACATTAAGAATTAAGTAAATAAATTAATCGAAACTATATCAAAAATATTTGTCTAAACTATATCGTGTTTGGTCTCATCTTAATCGGAAAACTATTAACAATTTGTTAACAAAAAATCACTTTTAAAACGTTAAAATTAAAAAACATCATTATATCATTGTATTATGCGTTGTCTTCCGGGAATTCGAGTCAAAGGAACCCGCGGAGCATGCCGCAGCGCACATGGTCACCATCACCGTTGAACTTTAGCATTGGCGTAACGAGAAAATCGATAAATTACAGGGCCGTAACAATATCACAGCGCGAACCTGAGAATACTGCAGTTGCGCGAATCCGGGAGAAATTACTGTATTCTCAAATCTGTCGATTTCAATCCCGATTCTGCGTCTTTTAGGGACAGATTACTGTATCTCGAAGATGACACATTGCGGACTTTACAATTCCGTTCAGGGATCCTAAAATCAGAACTTAGAAGAATCACATTAGAAATTGGGTCATAAATATTAATAGTCTTTAATAATTTAATAGGACCTTAGAAAAATACCTTCATTAATATTTATGCGTCACTACTACATGTATTACCATGGCTTAATTGTAGTACTGTAATTTGTGACAGTAAGTCTTGGATAATCTCTATTTGACTTTGTAATTCGTCTTGGAGTTTAGAGTTCTCTTCAGAAAGTATCATTTTTTGTCCATATTCCAACTTAAAATCTTTTTCATACGTTGTTATCTGTTCTTGCAGAATGTTAACACTTTCCTCCTGCATTAAGAATAAAAAAATATGATTAACATCTACTTATAGAAATACCAAAACAGATTAAAAAAAATAATGGAGTTTTGAAAATACAATAGCGACTTTTTCAATCTTTTAAATCATTTACAGTCTAAGATATACAGGGTGTCCCATAAATGTTGTAAGCCCTTGAAAGCTCCAAGGTCATTTGAAGAAACTTTGGTGAAATTGTTGAAAGCATACACCATCACCGATTTCAATGGCCTTGAAATATGTTATAAAGGGTGGTATTCTCAACAACTTTTTCCTTTTCAGTTAGCGTCATTAACTGTTGTTACTACCACATTGAATTCTATCTATACGTGGATAATGCGATACCGTGTGTGTAAGCCGTCAACCACTGCTCATCCACTGTTTTCTTTCTGCAAGTAGTACATATGCATAATGGGTAAACTTTTTAGCTCGGATCAAATGTAGGGGGTCTAACCGTGTTAATTATTAATTAATTTTCCCCACAGAAATAGGTTTGGATTAGATGGCGAGGGGAATTATTAACCCTCCTCCCACCTAATCCGGATCTAACTCAGATCTAACCATGGCATAGTGTTGTTAGACTACGAACCTTCTTGTGGTGCACATTGATTAATACTAATATTGACGGTATTTTATATTAATTCCGAAGACATTTTTTGCGAGGCTACCTATCTCAAACCTCTGATTACGTTCTACATTTGATCAAAATTAAAAAGTTATGTTATATACATATACTCCTTGCAGGTGCATAATCGTATTTGAAAGAAGTCTGTCGGAGTACGCACACGGTACCGTGTTATGCACGTCTAGACAGAACACAATGCGATAGTAGCAACAGTTTTTGCAAATATCTCCGAAATTAGAGCCGAGCGGCGCTAAATAGAAAAGGAAAAAGTAGTTCAGAATATCGCCACACTGACCAAGTGGAGAGCAAGTAGAGCTGACGTTCTCCGGTATGAATCAGCATATGTAAGACTTTCTGTATTTTTTTACTACGTGTAAATGACAATTTTAAGAATAAACGAATCTTTTTATGCAAATTCCCATTTCTATACGTCACTTTACAAAAATTATAATTAAAGAAAAGCTTCCTTCGTCAACTAAAAGATTACTTATTGTATAAAAAATACTGAAAATGCGATTAGACCTTGTTAATGTATACGTTTTCTTGCACTTGAAAAATCTGCACATGCCAAGAAAATGTTAAAGATCTACAGTCTAATAATAAGTAACCCCATCATAGCACATAAAAGATATTTTTCTTTAAATAATTGAGTATCCAAACAGAATTCATTGAATGATGAAAGATATTTTCTTTTAAATGATGCAAAGAATATCATGAATAGAAAACTCACATGGTTTCTCAGTTTTGTTTGATATTTATCTATTTCTGACTCTTGCTTTTGTATAGTTTCATGTAGAGTACCAACTTCAGTGACCAATTGATTAATTGTTTCTTCACATTTCTTTTTCTCTGCACTTAACTTCATAAACTCCATTTCAAGATTTTCCCTTCGACACTCTATCTTTTGTTTTTCTTCTTCAATGTTTTTAGTCTTTTTGATAAGGTCGCTGAGTTGTTCTTGTAAATGTTTATCTCCAACATTTTTCTCTATCGATTCTGTTACATCTATAAGAGATTCAGTAAGCACATCTGCTTTTTTTATGTCTTCTTCTATTTCTTCTTTCGGCACTACACCTATTTCATATAGCTTTGAAATACACTGCTTCAAAGATTGATGCAAACGATGAAAATAATTTTCTAATTCCTGAGTTTCTAAATTTCCATGATTGGAGGGTGAACTAGATTCCAAGCTTTGACTTTTTTGACAATTGTCCAATGATTTACGAGGTTGTGGATCTTCTGTATGTAGTTCTGAGGTATGTTTTGTCATGCTACAAGCTTTGATTTCCTTTGAAATCCATTGCTGAATTTGTTGGATCGTTGGTTGGCTGTGTTTATTGAAACTTATTGGACTTTCTACATGTACTGGTGCAGTGGTCTAAAATATTTATACTATTAAGTAACTTAGAGATAAAAAATCATTTACATATGTTCACACACTTACATGTTGCAATCTATGTTCAAGTATAAAATCAACTTCTTTTAAGGAGTTTTTAAGGACTTTTAAGGACTGTTCACAACTTGCACATTTATCCACGGCTTTGGCATGTTCAGGAGTATTATGAGCAATGGACTGTTCCAAATCATTTGAATTATATGATTTTGACATTGCATGTTGTGCCTTTAATTCCTTTATAGCAAGACTTTGTTCTTGTATTGTAGAAATGGCTTGCTTTAATTGAGAACTCATTACATTTGACATACTAACTAATTTTTCAGCAGCAAAGGATGGCATTTTATACTTTAATTGAGAATTGTCTCCCAACGAAGACTCTTGAAATTCCACTTCAGAAATCGAAGACTTTTTTTCCTTGCTACTTTGCATTTCATTAATGGAAGGCATCTATTTATCAAATGCATAATATTTATAAATTAAACAAAATGTGTAATATGGTATAACGGTAGGATAATATAGCATGACATACCTCATATGCTGATTCTAAGCTGTCATTTCCACCAGTAATTTTTGATTTCAATTCGGCATTTTCTTTTTTTAGACATTCCATTAATTCTCTAGTTTCAGCAAACTTCTTCTTATGATTTTGATGTATTTTCATGATTTCTTCTTGCCAGCTGGCTACACTGTTAAACTGTTGTTTCATAGCCATATTATTTTGTTTTAACGTTTCTTTTAGCTTCTCATTTTCTCGTATTAATTCATTCAATTTATCATGTACTTCATTTGAATTCCATGAAGCTATTACAGAATTGCAGTCCTGCATTGAAAACAAAACTTCTGAGATGTGTTTGTTTTAATTTTGTAATTTAGGAGTTTAAGGGGTCTTCCCACTCTTTTACTTTTATTCTCATATTATATTCCCCTTTAATCTTTATACATTTCACAATTTACCTATTTCCTGTGTTATAAAATATACTTTTTTATGTTCAATTATTTTCTAGTGCAATACAGTACTCAAATTCATCAGAATAGACTTAATTCCATTGCAGTATTTAAGTAGGAAGAGACTCCCTAACTATAAACTAATTAATTGATACGTACAATAGACATGCTCTTTTGTTCAATATCAACATATGATGCAAGACATGATGGTTGAATGACATCCATTGAACTTTTACCCAATACTACAAAGGATCTGCTGGAAGGGTCAGTAATACTGGAATTTGCTGATGCATCATTTAAATGTATATATGAGTCATCTAATACAAATGAAGCTTTTCCATTGTTTGTAGTTAAGTCCTTTTTTGATTGCTGATTAAGACTTTGTATATGATTTTCTGATTCTAAAGATGATGTTGACTGTCCTGCATCTTGCATAAATACAAAAGAGTTTTCTAGACTAGATTCCATATTGAAAGTTTAATCCAGATGACCGTTAGCTTAGTCTCAGTGTTCTTTGATACCAAGACTAAATATACCTATAATTTCAATATATTTATTTTAACAATTACTGCTATTAATAAAGTATATTGAAAATACACAACCCCCCAAATTCTTAGAATTAATTTTTGGTCTTCAATGAATCAGGTTTAAGAATAAATTTTAATCGCTACAATTTGTAATGTCAAAACAATTATGGTATCAGTATCATATTGATGTATTACATTATGCTCAAAAAATACACTGTTGTAAGCAATAAATAAAAATATCACACCGATATTACGTTCTATTTCAGTAAATTGCGCGTGATGTTGCAACGACATATATATATATATATATATATATGTCGTTGCAACATATATACACTTTCTGAATATTACAAAAATTAATACAATCTTATTATAATTAATATAATCCATGACAAATAAATTGTTAATACGTTTCAGAGACCGATGTTAAATTCTCAATGATATTTATACTTACCAAAAATCAATTTTTGATAACCATCCACAAATGTCAATAATCACATGTCACTTCTTAATGTACTCATAACTTTATGAGCCCATAATAAGCTCTGGAACAATTATATAATTACATATTTTCATTTATACGACGAAACGAATTCGGATATCGATAATAAATACAACTTTTGATAGTTTGCACTTTCTATTGTTTTGATGCTGTTATTCTTTTGATCACTTTATCTTGTCGATAATTTTTTAGATGACTATGGCGGATAATAGCGTAATCAATGCAATGGTCAATCTATGAACCTCTGCACGCTGCACCAATGTTATGTTATGACTAGTTATGATGTTATGACCATATATCTGATAATTGCATTCTAGACTGCGAAGTGCATGATCTGCACTGTTGTATCGTTTGTATTTGCTCACGTTCCTTGGTTCAGGAATTTTCCTCTAGATGACACGGACAGTTCAATTCGTAATAACTTCGCGGCAATGGTACTTAAAAACACCTCAAAATACTGAAGTATTAAAATTCCGAGCACGTTAAAATAATCACAACAATCCGGTATATGCAGAATTATGTTAGTAGGGGACGTTTATGAAAAGACAAGCAGGAAATTGTTTATGGTGATTAATTCCAATTGTATTTCAGAGTGAAATTCTATGAAGATCAATCTATAAATTATATCTAGCTGCTCCTCGTTGATTTCTCTAGCAAAGGACTTTTTCTTTGGAATCTAATTTACGATCTTGAGAAATTTCTAAAGCTACCTTTCTCTTCGCAGTATGCACCTTGGTTTTAATAACCAGCAATGAAGAGTTTCCATTCTTTCCTTCTCGTAACAGGCATTTTTTTCTATTATTTTCTCTGCTCGAGTAACCATCTACTCTACTCGAAAAATGTTGCTAACTGCGTATTCATACAGTAATTACAGTCATACGGGATCCTATGTTAGTTTGACATTCAAATGTCGCGCCATCATGATCCCAAGGATTTATAAAATGGCGACGATTCGGGCGACATCGCAATAGCACACTAGCATTTAGGGATTTTTGCTGTCAGTTTGTCGCATTGTTCCACGCTAGTATATTCTAGGGATATGTAAATGTTACTATTACCTAACCCCGTCAAAATAAATACGATAGTGCTATAGTTTCAGCTATCACGAACATAGAAGTAGGCGCTGAATTATCTTAAATATAAAATGTAGCATTTATTTTTAATCCTTAAAGATTCTTGTTCTTGCTTTTCAAATTTATGTCGACACAAATTGTTTAATAACTAATATTCTTTGAGTTCGCATCCCTAATTCCAACACTGTCCAACAAATTTCAATCTCTGCGATTTTGGTTGTGAGCGCAAATCCGAAAGTCAATTGTCTCCATTGGTTTCAATTTTTAAGAAAATTAATTTTCAGGATAAGGTGAAATTTTCAAATTTAAGAGTATTTTCTGCTTGAATCGTCAAAGCTACGCGAATAATTTTTATGTATAGCGGTTCTGTAGACCTTTTTAAATATAATAACAGCGTATTTATTGATAATTAATTATGAATTTTGAACATTTAAAAACATACGAACAATGTTTAAAGAAAGCTTGATAAATTTAATGTATTAATCGTCGTTAATCAATTTCGATGAAATTTACATCGTGTGTACAAGCCACTGAGATCTACAACGCATTGTTTAATATTTTGTTATAGGCTGAGACAAAAATGTTGAGAAAAGATACCATCTTTTTATTCTTTCGTCGTTCCAATCAATTCGCAATTTTCGGAAATCTTCGTTCAGACATTGTCTAGTAAACTAGTTGCTCTAACATGTAAAAAAAAGATCGAGTCAGTACCAATTTAAAAAAGGTTATTGCGTTTCAAAAGTTGCCCGAATAATATTATTATTATATATAATATATAATAATATATTACTATATATTACTATATATTTAATAATTATTATATAATAATTATATATATAATTTATATATATTTAATAATTTAATAATTATATATATTATATGCATTATTATGTATTACTATATATTATAATATATATAATATAATATATAATATTATTATTATTATATAAATATATTATTATATATAATAATATTATTACTCGCGTATCTAGATATTTGTGTGTTAACATTCCGACTGCCATGACACGACATACGCAAATGACGGAATTATCAGCTCAAATTTGAAAATTAACATGTACGTTAATCTACTTTATCTTCCCAATTTCATCAGGATCCGCAAAACGTAAGAATGCTGAAAATGTATTATAGTTGATGTCGTACAAACGTAACTTCTCAAACTTTAATTCGATTAAACAGGACATTTTAATGTCATGTAATTTTTGAGATGGTTGACATGGAAGTCAAAGGTTGTTACGGGTTAAGAAATGGTCAAGCAAGCGAGTATTACCGTTGCGAGTTCGCCAATCTGAGACGAGATTTACGATTCTTGTCTCGAACAACACTGTCGCCGGTTATTATCGTCTGTCTATGGACTAGTTTATTAATAGACATTGCGCAAGGAATATCCATTTTGTCGCGGCAAGGTGTTGCGTAAAGCTCGTCATGCCACTTACGTGCACTTCGGGTTTATCGTTTCAGGGATTACCTATGCACACCGGTTGTTTCTCTCAACCCTGAGGTAAACAGGAGTCGGACTGGCTCCGATACGAAGGCCGATTTGCGGCATTACTTCTCGAGTTACGTTCACGATCCTTTGTCTGCGACAATTTCTGCGCTAGTTAGGGACGGCGTTTTTATTAAATCGCTCGGCTCCTGCGAACGGAACGAAAGAAAACCTTTCAAACAATTCCGTCGGGACCCGTTTGTCTCGCGCTTTATTGCCGGATTAAGGGTTACTACGGAAATCGAAGTTCTCATGTTTGTTCAGTACTTACTGTTTCGAACTTCCGTTCCTGTTTTAATGTCCGACCGACACGGAGTTTCGACATGTTGTACAAGGCGGAAGCGAAGTCACTATTTCACTTTTCAATTGCACGCCGTTCATATTTAGTAGGCATAATATTCGTGTTTGGTTAACTTTGTTTCGAATTCCCGTTGCGAGTCTAATTTGCGACGAATTCTGATATCGGCGATTCGAATAATCGAGGTTCTACTAATTTCTGTCCAGCAAATATGATTAATATAATATAATTTATAGATTATATATTATATATAATAGATTATATATTTCTCTGTTTAATAATAATAATAATATATTGCTCTGTTAAATATATATAGATTACATATTTCTCTGTTTTATTCACTGTTTTTTATTATATATATATAATATAATTTTGGATGAAACAGTGAATAAAACAGAGAAATACAAAATCGTCACGAACACATGCAACGGATCACGAAGTTGTACTTTGCTTGATTTTTTTAGGATGTTAGTGGGATCAGTTTAGTGTCTAAAAACATTTTTGCAAAGATCACTCATTAGTTGGAGTGACAGAAAAATTGAACACACGCGTTGTCAATATTAACTGGGAACATTTGAGAACGTATAAACAATGTTTAAAGAAAACGCGACGAATTTAACGGAGGTTCGTTGACTAATTTTGATGAAATTTTTTTGCGTTCAGTATATTGTTAGTTATCGTTATAGTTATATTTTAAGTGCCTGAGCTTTTTTATTTATTTGTCATTCCTACAAAGTGTAGTGCAATAATTGCACATAATAGCTTTGCTGTCGCGAAATTGATCCAACTTGGCATGAAAGAAAATTATACAGAAGACGTTCGTTCTTGTTAGAATTGGGAAATGAACTGATACAGCCATTGACCGAAAGTAGGACAACATTTCCAAGGAACAATGGAAGCGATACAACTAGTAGAATTGTGAAAACGACAACTATCCGATGCAATGAATTCTGTTACCATAGAAACCTGACCAAAAGAGCGAGATGCAAATACATATTGTCCATCAACCGAAGACAATAAAACAGATTGTGATGTGCGCAAAATACAAATAAAACGCATTAGTAAAAGCCCACATATTATTGTTGTAGTAATTGTACAAATTCTGATATTTCATGTTTGATAACTTTCCAATTTACTATTTCTGTTCCCTACTTTCTTTATTTCTCTTAGTCATTGTGGAAATTCTGCGAATAAACTTTTACTTTCCTCTGTGTTTTCATATTTATTATAGCGAGTATCACCTTCGCTGCTTGTAAACAAATGTTATCGAAATCAAGTAACAATCATTGCAATAGTAATAATAAATTTACAGTAATGATTGTCGCTTGATCTCAACAACATTTTTTTACAGGCAGCGAACGTAATATTGGGTTGGCAACTAAGTAATTGCCGATTTGTTCAATGAAATAAAAATTTTTTTTTACTTGAAATAAAGTTTAATCTGTAATGTATTTTCCATTTTGTTCGATGACCTTTTGCCATCTCTCTGACAACTTGAAAATACCACACTCGTAGAAAGTCTGATCCTTTTCGGCCAAAAACTGAGTTAAGCGAGATTTTACAGCGTCATCGTCGTTAAAAGTTTTACCACGAAGGGAGTTGTCCAGGGATCGAAATAAGTGGTAATCCGATGGCGCGAGATCAGAGCTATATGATGGGTGTAACATCAATTCCCAACCAATATCCATCAATTTTTGCCGAGTGGACAAAGACGTGTGCGGCCTAGCATTGTCCTGCTGGAAAATGACACCTTTACGATTGACCAATTCTGGTCGCTTTTCCTTGACTGCTGCATTCAATTTGTCCAGTTGCTAACATTCATGAATAATAAAAA